TGATGATGATGATGGTGATGATGATGATAGTGTTGTTGCTTATGATGTTGATGACTATGTTGCTGAAGAAGACGTTGAATGTGGTGTTTGTTTGCGAACAGTAACACAACCAACCACCATGATAACCATCATTGATCCTAGTGGACTTACGGGATGGACATTTGATTAGTAGTAGCAGAAAGGTTTCACTCTCTGTTTTTTTGTTCCTATTTTTGTTTTTTTTTTTTTTAACGCATAAATTCGATGAATAATCATCTTCAGTTTTTGCTTTTGTTGTTTTTAGTATTTCTACTGACGTCTCTCTTCCCATTTTCTTTTAAAGATTTAGCTACTGCTTTTGGATTGCTATAAACAAAACAAATTTAGAATCACCGAAACAAGAATCTTTGCTTTTGGGAAACAGATTCCAAAATTTATGAATCATTGTGTGAAGCGTGCAACTGAACGGCATAGTTGGCTTTTTTTTTTTCTGTATTAATCGATTCAACAATGCATATTTCTTTTCTGATTTTCTCCTTCCTTCCAATACCCAACTACTTCCCCCCGTTCCCCTTCCCCAGCTATCAACGCCATCCCCTTCACCATCTGTCCATTCGTATGTTAATCTACTCGTCTACGCGTTTGTTTTGGTCGGCTATTTTTCCATAGTACTTAGTGGTCGCCAATCTCGTGGAACGTCTCTTTTCAATCTGACGTCTTTTCCAGCGATCCTTCACTCATTTATCTCAGCTTTATAGGTAGTCAAATCCCTGATGCTTGTTATCCGTGTTTATATCTATAACAGTTTCATTCAATGAAGTGCTTTAGGAAAAAAGCAGAAAAGAAACAAAAAACCAACTAGCTTATACTGATTAAAGGAAAAAAGATTCTAGAATTTCGGCAATTTTGTTTCCTCAAAAAGTACTCCAGCGAACAAGCGCGGAAAGGTTAATGAACATTGTTACTACATTTGGGCTTATAAAAATTAATTAATCTGTCCAGCGGCAAAGAGAAAATAAGGACCTTTTTTTCCATATTATTAGTAATGTTATTTATAAGCTAAGCAGACTAGAAACACAAGAGTTAAATTTTTGAACAGACAATCATTCTGTTTTCCGCTTACCCCATCTCCCTTTCCCTCATCATCCCTTCTCTCTCCTCCTTTCCCCTCCCTTTTTAGTCCTCTCGAGGGGCATTTTTTTCAGAGGAATGGCTTTAAAAATTCCTTCCCATGGAAAAATTTTTTTTGAATAAAAATTAGTGCAGTAGTTGCTTTTGTTCCAAAAATAACCTTGACTAGTACATATGAACTTAGCCCAGTTGTGAAACAGGAGGAGAAGAAGCGAAGGGAAAAAGTGGACTGGGTTTTGATGATTTTTTAAAAGGGAAAGAAATAGGCAACAAAAAATAACTCCGTATCTGTTGTGTCTCATTTTACACAACAAGAGCTATCTTTCATTTTTTTCATATTTCAATTTCCAATTCTTTTTTTTCTGCTTGTTTCTTTTTGTTTTGGTTTGTTTCACTGCTATTCCCTAATTGCAACTGTGGCGGGGGTTAACGGGTTGAAAAATGGGGAAAAAAGGAGGAGGGGAAAGGGAGGAAGGATATCTATGCATGTAAAAAATTTCTGCAGTAATTTTTGAATTGCCGCTTTACAGTAGTAGAAATTTAAATTTTTTTGAAATCTACTTGAATACGGTAGATGGTGACGGTTACATTGATGTATTGTTGAGATGTATACGGATAGATATGGTGGACAGTAGGTTACCTCGTCTTCTACCATTCAATCTTTGAGCTCTTTTTTATTTTGTCTTTGTTCCCTTAAAGTTTCGCTTTTGTTTTTGATTTTCTTTTTCAACTGGTTTAAATATTTGGTATCACGGGAAGTTTAACATTTTTTGCCAGCGTTTTTCTTAGTCAGCAGAAACAGCTCGCCATTTTTTCAAATCAATTTTGATATATAACATATGAATTTCTTGTTGGTGCGATTTGACCAGTTAACTGGCTTGCAGTTCATGGTTTGAATCCGTTTATATCGTTCTATGTTTTTTTCTCTCCACTAATCTTCAATTTTCTTTACACTTAGAATTTGTAGTTGTATGCTACATATAAGTTTGATTTTGCAATTTTAACTAAGGTGATTTCTAAAACAACATTTCTTCAATTTCTTTACCTATTGATTCACTAGTTCAAGTTTCGTGATGGACGTTTTATAAGCTGCGAACAACAGGAAAGAGTGAACAAGCAAAACGTTTAATATGAAAAAATTTGTAATTTTTGAACTGTTTTAAAAGAGAGCTAAAATGAGAAGAGGCCGTAATTAACTGGATCTTTAAGCCGAACTTGGCTCGCCGAATTTTATATCCAATTAGGCTTTTTTGACCATGGATAATTCGGTAAGAACATAGAAGGAATAATAGGGACTGGCCAAAAGCGGAACCGAATATGCTACTGCTGCTTCAGCCAGATGACATTGCTGACTCGGTTTGTAGCGAATAGAGGCCGCTTGTCTGAACTCTCAGTCATTCTCGCGCCGTGTTGCTTCCCAGGGCGGTTGTTTACGTCAGTCGCTTTCACTGGTGGTCATTGACAGCTTTTGGACTCCTCTTTTACTGAGCAGGTAGCCACATGGTCATTCATCTGAGACTTTACTGACGTGATTAGCTATAACTTCGGGTTCAGGTTACCAGTATTTCATATAGTTGTTGGATGATTTGAGTGGACAGGGAGATAAAGACTTAGGAAGTGATTATGATTGTAGTAGTGGAGTGTGTAAGTTTTGCCTTATTTTCTTACGTGGAAGGATGAAGTGGGTTGTTTTCTTTGTAGATATTGCATTTCTTATCGGTTTGTAGATGTAAACTTTTGTTGCTACTTGATAAAAAGTTTTTTACTTTTTGTTATCTTGCATTTTTTATTTAAAACGATCTTTTTTGTTTAGGAAATGTAATAATGTGTTCTTTTTTCCCCTGTTTTGCGCTGCTTGCAGTTTTTTCTAGAATCGCCCGTCATTCCTTTAAAATAAAAGAAGCCATTAAATATTTGCAAATATGATAGGATGGTATTAAACGCATGGTTAATAATTTTTCAGTTTTTTTTCATTTTTTTTTTAGTGTTTATCGTTATCCCTTTCTCATTGTTTCACGTGTTTTGTTTGTTTTCAATTGTTTTGCTTGTACGCTCGTCCTTGTTTTTTTTTTTTTTTTTTTTTTTTTTTTTTTTTTTCTCGTAGTGTCAAAGTTTTTGTGGTTATCTGCATTTTTGCTGAATTCTATTGTCTCCCATTGATGTAACGATTTTTTAAAAAGTTCCTTTATCTTTGAGTGGCTACCCATAATCTCGATTAGTTTCAGCGGTATAAGGAAAGTAGCCAAAGTTGTCCCTGAAATTCGTTTAGTCTAAGTTCATGTACCACTTATTTACTAGTGGTCGAAAAACTTTTTAGGAACTGATTGACTGTTCGGAGCTATTTTTGGCGTTTATTTTTCTGACAAACGATTCTTGACTTATTTTTTCCAGTGGCCACTCATAAATAGTAATGGATAAATTAAATGCCTGAAATGAAAGGTGAGAGGATAACTTTAAAATTATTTAGTAGCTTCTCAATTGCGCTCGAGCGTATAAATCATGTCTGGCTGGGCAGCTTATATTAAAAATCTCCTTGGCTCAAGCAACTGCATCAAACGCGCAGCCATCGTAGGTTTGGACGGTGCGATTTGGGCCCGGTCAGAAGGAAGTAACGA